AAAGTCTTGCGTTTTTAAAAGTAAAGCCTTAAGTCTGTGCTCCAAAGAATGTAAGATTTATGACAGTTTAAGTTGGAAATGTCATTTTGAGGTCAATGCATAAAAAGTGGGACTGACAGTTAACAGGTTAAGAGTGGGTTAGAGTTGAGAGTTAACTTTAGCAACATCACTTCTGTACAAACTCACTGAGTATATGAGATATCTGTGTGTGTGTGTGTGTGTGTCTCATATGAACACAAGGACAGATCCAGAACTTCTGCATTGCTGCACACGAGCAGAGAGACACATGAATGACTGAATGAAGTGAGCTGGCAAACGACTGTGTGAGCGAGGGTTTGAGTGTGTGTAGTACCTCAGGTCTCTTGCTGTGATGCTCTGAAGTGTTGAGATGTTCAGTGCGCAGATGCTGGAGCCGATGACGTTCAGCTCGTTAGTGCCTAAAGTGTGACCGGCCACACTCAGATACCTGAGGATCACCTCCTTACTCTACAACACACACACACACACACACTTATTATAGTCTGAAGTGAGATCAATGTGCCAAAACCAAAATGATAAGTGATATTTCACATTAATGTACGTAATTTCTATAAATGTCTCTGTATGGCCACATAACTGCAGCCATTAGAACCAATTACTAGTTTTAGCTGGTCTCCCAGCCTGACCGGCTAAAGAAGTGGCCAAACCCCCTCTAAAACCAGCCTGCTGACCAGCTATGACCAGATAACCAGCTTAGCTTTGAGCAGTTTTTCTCGGCAGGGAATTAATGTAGTTAAGGTAGTTTTAGTCACAGAAAAGCACACACCTTGTCTTTGTCCCATTCTCCGTTGTTTGAGTCCATCAGCGCGGCTAGCGTGTCGATGCTGGTGATGCTCCAGGTCCTGATCTCGTCGACCGTGGCTTGCCGTGAGACAGACGCAAGTAACTGCAGCGTGCTGTCGGAGAGTCCAGCCGGATACACCTGGAAAACAGCGTCCAAGGCTCAGTGCTTGGACCACTTCTCTTCTCCATCTACATGTCGAGTACATGTAACGTGTAACAAGGATACCTTAAAATAAAGTGTTACTGCAATATGTTTTGCAGCAATCATTAACCTTTGTTAATGTTAGTTAATAAAATAGTTCATTGTTCATGTTAGTTCACAGTGCATCAACAACTGTTAACAAATACAACTTTTAACTTTAATAATATCTTAGTAAATGTTGAGATTAATGTGAACTAACATTAATAAATGCTTTAAAAATATTTTCCATTGTTAGTTCATGTTAACCCTGTTGAAAAAAAAAAAAAACAGCCTAAGCTGGTTGGCTGGTCTTAGCTGGTTTAAGCTGGAAGTAGCTAGTTTTAGCTGGTCTCCCAGCCTGACCGGCTAAAGAAGTGGCCAAACCCCCTCTAAAACCAGCCTGCTGACCAGCTATGACCAGATAACCAGCTTAGCTTTGAGCAGTTTTTCTCCAAAATCACTCTCACGGACCTTTTCCTGGACTGTCCCCAGCTGGTGAACAACCTGCCTATCTCAATCCGAGCAGCCATTTTCAAAAAAACATCTAAAGACACATCTTTTCGCCAGCACCTGACCATCTAATACTAGCACTTACCCATTCTATTCTATTCGTTTTGGTCGAATTTATCTATAAACATTTTTTTTTATTTTTATCCTTGATATGTGCACTGTGCTAGACTAACTGAGACTTGTCACAGCACTTGTATATTGTTGCTCTCTCGTTGGTCTGTCTGCTTCTACTTTGTAAGTCACTTTGGATAATAGCGTCTGCCAAATGACTAAATGTAAATGTAAATGTAATCAGCTCACTCACCTGCTTCAGCTTGCTCAGAATGATTCTCTGGAAGTCGTTGTCATCCACCTTCTCCGTGATGGCGGCCAGGTTATCTCTGAGGACCCTGGTGCTCATACAGGCGTCGAACTGGGCCGCGGTGTAGCCGAAGGGGAACGAGGCGTCTGTGATCGTGGCTTCCGTGATGTTTCCCGCGGTGCAGTCTGACCGACACAAACATCAACACGGTCAAACAATCCTGTGACAGCTATGAAACACTCCTCTTTATGTCACAGAGGTTCACCGTCACGTCAACTATTATTTGGCCCAGTTTAAGCATCCTGGTTATTCTTCTTCTACTTCTTCCTCTGATTGGCTTTCTGACGCAATAATCAACACCAGCTTCATGCCTCTATGTACTCCTATGATTGTCTGAACTCCATATGCCTTTCCAAGGTATTATCCACAGTGATTTATTTAAATAATCTTGGATTTGACTGTAAAATGCCAATTAAATACCAAAGCTGGTGGTGTAGATGGCAGGCAGGCAGTCTGGCTGTATCTTTGAAATGATTTGATGTATTAAAACCAAACTTGAAACCTGTCATCATCTCTGTGCTCTTAAAGTATTCACCAAATTTCAAGTCTTTTGATCACATACTGGTCAAAAGTTATTTGAAATAATATATCCATCTCTGGTCATCTACATCATTGCTGCTTGCAGCTATTTTTCTTTAAATATATAATGTACTATCAGTTTAATTACACATAATATATCTTAATGATAAGTTATATGACTTGCAATATATTATCATTCTTATAAGTCATCGTGTGTGTAATTTACCTGCAGAGCGCCTGATTCTGCTTCGAGCGTCTAACTCAGCGTTGCAGTTTTTAAAGAGCTTCTTTAGTTTCGGCTTCTCCGTGTTTCTCGTCCTCAGGAACGGCATGAACACCTTCATGTACTTCCTCTTCACAGGCTGGAACACACACACACACAACACATAAATAAAGCAGCAGTTGACACACCTGGAACCAATGAAGGAAGGATGAGTCAGAGAATAAGCGTTCGTACGGCGCTGAAGCGGCTCCAGAAGTCGTCAGTGAAGTACAGTGGCAGGGTGTCGAGGCGCTCCAGTGTCTGCTGATCCCAACCAGAAGATTTCCTGAAACCCAACAGAGTTCATTTATACAGTGCTTTACACTAAACAGACAGCCTTACAGTAATAAACACACTGTTTCATAAACACGTTATTTAATTCATTGTCAGTAACACTCATAATAAACCCTGTTCTGCAGGGTAATAGAGTTTTCTGATGTTTGTTTCATATCACGTGTGCAGTTCAGTGCAATAATTCTAATGATCACAGTCAACTCAAGTTTGTTGAATGACTGAACTGTAAATGAAGAGCTCTTTGCATGATTTTTCTCACCCATAGACAGTTTCTCCTGAGAGCAGCAGCGATTGCACAGCGCTGATCTGAGCGTCGGACAGATCGTGGCACTTCTTCAGGCTCTCAATGATGGCTGGATCAGAGTTTTGGATGTAGACGGGGTCGAAAGTGCAGGTCAGGTTACCCAGAACCTCCACGTGATCCTTGCTTAGCCTTTGACCCGAAATACCCTACAACAACATACACACGTTTACAAGAGTCTGAGGTAGAAATGCTGTGTGCGTGAGTGTGTGTGTGAGCTGCTCACCAGACAGTTTTGTGCGTTGTTGAACAGAGTCTTCTGTTTGTCAAGGACACTGGAAAGAACGGAGTAATCTGCCGTGCCCACAGCGCTGAAATACGAGCGGCAGTTCGCCTCCTCCACCTCCTCATAGCTGATCGACAAACATCAACAAATTACCACAAACGAATAGATGGACAAACCATACCACAGATGACAAGAAAATCAAACAAACAATCTGAAAGAGAGAAGTTAGGTATCAAGAATAAAGCAAAAATAATCAAACATTCATAAATGAAATAAAAGGACACTCATAAAGAAGAGGATGTTTAGGAATTTGTCAATTTTAATTGTAATTTGTGTACTTCAGTAATGACCATTTCTAATTCTTGTCACTCTTTGTGGAGTCTGTTGTCCAAGAGCACAACATGCACAAGTAGGGCTGCACGATTATGACAAAAATCATAATTGTCGATTATTCCCTTGAAATTGTAATTGCAATTATTAATTACGATTATCACAATTTACATTGAATGATGTTTATACCATTGTTTGATGCAACTGCATGCCGTATTTTTATATGAAAATAAACAAGCTGAAAACACTCTAACTGAAAAACTTTTAGTGCTTTTCTATAGTATTAAGCCTCAAATGTCAACTACACATCGGATTGGTTTCTTCTTTAAATTATAAAAAAGTAAAAATATGAATGGTATTATAATGTTATACTAAAACTAAAACTAAAACAATGGAAAAACCCTTAAGATAACATGTAGAAAGAAATAAACACATCTTAAGCACGCAGAATAACATAAGTGGACTTTGAATGATTAATTGCAGCTTTGAATGATTACGTAATTGTGGCATCCATAATTGTAATCGGTAATAATTGGTGAAGTAGTGAAACACCTGTTCTGCGCAGCTGAGATTTGGTACGATAGCAATACTCGTTTGTTTTCTATCTTGGATAATTCAACTTTACTTTCAACTGCAAGGTACTCACTTGTAGTAAAGCAGGATGTCTGAAGGTAAATCTGTGAAGCTTGGCGAAGTCTCGTCTTTCATGTAGTTGTACATGCACATCAGCTAGAATACAACAATTAAAGAGTTTAATGGTAAACCTCACAGACGCAGACGTAAGTCCTGAGCGGACGTGAGTAAGGTGTGTACCTGACTCTCCTTCAGCTGGACCTTCTGCCGTCCCGACCGACGTCTGCAGGCTTTGACCAGCTGCTTGACCTTGGGCTCGGCGAGCGTCCGGACAGACGTGCAGGTGAAGCCCTGCAGCAGCTCCTCAGACAGCCTGCAGAGGGAGACAAACACACTCATAAAACACCTGCTGCGTCTGTACTGTCTGTGAAAGAGCATAAGTGTGATGAGTCACTCACTCCTCAGTGTCCTCAGTGAGACTCGCCACGGAGCCGAACAGCATCACGGCCTGCGACACGACAGAAAATCAGCCCGAGGTATAAACACACAAACAGACTCTTAACCCTCCTGTTGAGTTGGGGTCACATTTATCCACATTAAGCTGATTTAAACACTGATTAAACTATTTAATTCCTCTTGAAATATTGGGACTTCTTCTTATTCAGGGTTGTGAACGTGCATGCAAAGTTTCTACTGTTTTGGAAAGACTAGAAAGGTTTCCATGCGATTTGTCAAAAATCAATCATTTCTCACATATTTTTTTTTATTTTTCAGTCTCTGACAAGTTCAAATAAGGGTTTTCAGAGACACTTAACAGTAAGCTCCAATTAGTAAACGTAGTTAATGCATTAACTAACCATGAGTGATCCATTTTGTACACTATTTATTCACCTTTGTTAACGTTAGGTAACAACAATAAAAATGTTAATTGGAAGTTCATGTTCAGGTCGATTAAGTAATACAGTAACTCTTCATAATCAGGAACACTATTATCTAGTTGCTTAGTAGCATGCAAAATACTAGCATATCAGCTGTTTATTAGTCCTTATAAAGCACATATTCCTGCCTTTTTCTGCATGACCATATTCTGGATCCCTTAAACCTACAGCATACAACTACACTTTAAACTATCAATAGCCAGCAAATTAGGAGTTTGTTGTGGGATAACTCTAGTTGATAGTGAATATGTGTTCCCCTAACTTGCTTCCAATAATATTAACAGATACAGCTTTTGATTTTAATATGTGACCCTGTAGCACAGAAGCAGTCATAAGTAGCACAGGTATATTTGTAGCAATAGCCAACAATACATTGTATGGGTCAAAATTATGGATTTTTCTTTAATACCAAAAATCATTAGGATATTAAGTAAAGATCATATTCCATGAAGATATTTTGTATATTTTGCAAATTTCCTTCTGTAAAAATATCAAAACTTCATTTCTGTTAGAACCACTATTGTCAAAGATAATTGACAATTAGCATACAGTTTGGATTGGCGGTATGGTTCTGTTCTGGGCAAGAACTCCCTGCGCATCCATGCAGCCTAGCATGGACAAGAGCAGGGAAAGCAGCGATAACCCCCCAAAACAAAACCATATGCTGATATCCCCCAACACAAACTGATAGCAAAATATCAAAGCCTTAAGCAACAAGCATGTTGCCCTTAACCAATGACCAAAAACAAATATGTTGCCAAAAATCGTGTTGCCTTTAACAGATGACCTAATGAATATTTCCAATACCTTAAAAGCTTAAACAACATGTTCTCAATAACAACAGGTAGACTTAAGAAAAACATGTTTCCAATTCAACCACTGCTTAAAAAACAAGCATATTCCGAATAACGACCGGATTGCTCTGGAACAAGCATGTTCCCAACAATATAGCTATAACTTAAGAACAAGCATGTTCCCAATAATGACCAGGTAGCTTAAGAACAAGCATTATTCCTAATACGACTAGATAGCTTAAGAACAAGCATGTTCCCAATACGACTACAGCTTTTAGAACAAGCATGTTCCAATAACAACCAGATAGCTCTGGGACAAGCGTGTTCCCGACAATACAGCTATAACTTAAGAACAAGCATGTTCCCAATAACAACCAAGCTTAAGAACAAGCATGTTTCCAATACAACTAGACAGAACAAGCGTGTCTGATACAGGAACAGAATCAACACTGAACAGACGGCTGCATCCGAAACTGAAAAATGCTGCCTTTGGAAGACACATTTCAAGGTAGGAAGGCATCAAGACATGTCGAATCCAAAGTTAGCTTCAATTCCTGCCTCCTGAGATAGCATCATCTGGTCGATATTTAAAGGCAGAATAGATGTATCCTTCACTGCCTTGATACCCACAATCCTGTGTGTCCTATCCCGTGATGGTTGAGCAAAATAAAGATGGCGTCTGAAGTTATTTCTAGCGAGAAATCAGTATTATTAAGTAATTAAGTATTCGCTTAGTTATTACCAAAGCTCGTTCTAGTTTGTTGTAGATCATTGAACATTAAGCTGCCTCTGAAGCATGTCTGATATCAGTTTAATGAGTTACCTTCATGAACAACCTAGGCTGCTGTCTCGCTGCCTATCAGCCAATGACTTCGCAGGCAGCGAGACAGCAGCCTAGGTTTTCGGATGCAGATGACTTCAACTGAACAACGACCATGTACCATTTTCTCTTGGAGCTGCGCCGCAGCAGAAATGATTCAGTTTGCACCATGGTCGTTATTTCCTGCTGCTTAAATCTGTGCTGTAGTGCTATAAAAATAAAGTCGACTTGACTAGGTTAAAGGGAACAGAACACACCGTTTCGGCCAATCTCATGTTAATCTTGAGTACCTATAGTGTAGTATTTCTTCATTCACATCTCTGAAGAGTCTTCAGTTTTACGATTCTCTCCGAAAACAGCCGAGCTCCTGGAGGCGAGCCGTGGGCGGAGCTGAAGAGTCACGAGCACTTACGGGCCGACTGGCAACAAACACAGACATTTGATGCAGTTTTACAGCAGTTCCTAGTCATGACCGGGATCTTTTATCGTTGGGACTGCTCCGTCTTTCAGCATCAAACGATGTGCAAATCCAGTGTCAGAATGTACCTTGTTATAAAACATTTGTCACCGAAGTGACGGGAACAACAAACATGCTCGTGAACTCCGTTGCTGCCCCGGAAAAAAACTAATTGCATCCACTGTTCACATAACACTGAAGAAGGGTTTTTTTTCCCCCCTCACATCCAAAAACACACATCTTTAGAGACAGTCTTCTCGAGCAAGTAATGCAGAGTTCACACTGCATGATTTTCAAACTCGTCGGATCGCCGTTGTTTTCACACTGCGTGACTATCTGGGGTAGCATTCAGTTGCTGCTGTGTTCACATTGCACGATGGATCGGTGACAGGGGGTTTCACATTGCATGACTTCACAATAGGAAGAATCGAGGACAGCTCCAGATATTTAGCATGCCAAATATTTCACGGGCGTCGGCGATTCCCTCAGATCGCGTCTTTGATAATTCACACTGCATGATTGTCACTCGCGTGAACGAGCACC